ATGCAGAACATCATCATTGTGGTCGTCACCTTCATCATCGGTACCATCAAAAGAACGGCTGCCACCATCACCATCGACATACAACCCTCATAATTAAACATTGTAGTTCATGTCTGATGCGCAGATTGCTGCTTTCTGCACGGATCAAATGTTGGGTACCATAGGGGATGGGGGCAGGGGTGGGGCGACACCCCCAAACCGCAGCAGCGGGCGACACGCCAAGGGTCGTCTAGGGGGTGCGGGGGGTGGGGGGGGGATACCATGGGGGGGGGGGTGGCCCGGGACCCGAGAGCACATATACGTATACATGCATAAATAATGCCGTGGGCAATTTTTCTGTTCTTCTTCGACAGTTTATTCGGAAGCCTATTGTAAGGGAGATTGGGGTGTTCAACGGCTTCGTGGGGCCTTGGAGGTTCAGGTGCGACTTAGGGCTTCGGGTTATTCAGTGGTTTGACTTTGGGGGGCGTGAAAGCTCGGCTTCAGGGCTCCGGAGTTTGATTGCCACAAGAAAGACGAAACAACAGCAGCGTCATACACACGAAGCCCTCATCTTTGAGGCCGATTCACTCTCTGCTTTCCTTTGACATCCCCGATCCTCAGCAATACTAGGCAGAGCCACCTAACATAGAAGCCTAAATAATTAGTTGTATTCTATTCTTTGTGATGCTGGGCAGCTACAATAAGGCCTTGGTTGTCTGCAGTCTTAACCTGACCAACACTCCCAAGCTTGACCCCGAATTTATGACCTTCAAACCCGTAAGAGGTTTAAGCCGTACCCATAACGTTAAAGCCTGAATCCAAGCTAGGGAGTTCTAGGCGTCCGGATGATGAACGACGCGACTGAGATGATGATTGCGATGAAGGAGTACAATCCGGCTGCTGGGCTCTAGATTTTGATAGCATTGAAACAACAAAAGAGCAAGCAAGACTTAAACAAGTATGTAGCAGCCTCAGTAGAATATTTATGCACGGAGCGGTAAGGATATATCCTGTAGAAGGTTTGTGGTACAAACGATGCACTGAGTTAATAGAGCTAGACAGTTTCAACCACTGTGAATATTTTCCCCGAGCTTGTCTGCCTATTCTGTAGGACCGCGGGCTCAATCTAGTCAAGTCCTTTAGACGTGAGGTTTCGGATGCAGAAAACACCGCCAATATGTCTAGCAAGAGCGGCATTGCCATCAAGAGCGGAGCGCAGCATTGGGCATCTAAATCCCAAGAGCGCAGACGTGTCATAGTATCCGTAGCGAATGAACATTGTAACATGTTTGCACTTTCAGTCACAGATCTCTACAATGTAGCATAGGCTACAATGTAGCATTGGCTAAGCTAGTTGTTGAAAGTACTGATCAATCAGCCTCATGACAAACAATCGTCAGTACATAGTGGTGTAGCTTCACGGCACAAGCACTCAGTATATGTAGTGTGTCGCGCCTAGATATAGCAGCACCATAGCGAGGCAGTGCACTGCTTACATCTCGTTGTCAACAACCATGCATCTCTAACTGTCGACCACCATACATCAAAGGCTTGTACATCAAAAGGAGGCATAGATGTATGTCTATATATAATTACTTATTTGTATATAAAAATAGGCAGGTATTGGTTGTTGTTCAGCAAGCCAAGCAGTCCCGAAGCCTACACTCGAACGTAAGAACGCTGTGTAAATGCTAAACTGCGAACGTGAGAACGCTGTGTAAACGCTAAACCCTGCTAAACCCTAGAAGCCTCGCTGTCCTGGCCTCATCTCCGTTGTCTTGGTGATGTCTTTTCCTTCCTGCAAGATCGGGTAATTAAGATAGGGGCCTTAACAATTACCTATACTATTTTGGGGGTTCTTTATTATAAGTAGTTTAAACTATAATAGACCCCAAAACCCTATTCTAGTTAATAAGGCCCCTGCGAGCGAGGGTTTTGGTTTTGGTGCATGCTCAGATGCGTGCAGTGATTTGGGGTGTCCTGGTTCCTGCTGTACCAGGAACGGCTGTTGAGAAGAAGGTTTGAAGTACAAGGGCTGTAGGGGTTGTAGGCAGAGCTGTCCTTCGATCCAAGGATATTTGGAATGGCCACGTGCGAGCCGCGAACATAGCTGCTGCTGAGGAACCTGAAGGGAGTCGCTTGTAAACAATGTCACCCAGGCCAAACCCTAAACCGTAAACCCAAACTCCGAACCCCTAAACTTCAAACCCATAAACCTATGCCAACGGCATCTGGATTCAACAACTGGATTTAGAACTGAAGCCTTAAACTTAAACCGTAAGTCGATACCTGGAGCCCTTTTCAGCTTTTCTCGCGAGACCCACCCTAATCACCCTGAAGCCTTCAGAGCCTTAGGCCCTGAACCCCAATGGCCCTAAACGGGTTAGGGTTTAGGGTTTAGGGAACCCTGCAACCCTGAAATGCCAAATCTGATACTCATGAGAGCCTTGGATACCGAAGACATTTTCTGTGATCTTGACACCATCCCGAAACCTACAGGGCTTCGGCGTTTAGTAGATTGGGGGTTGAGACGCCTAAGTACACAGTTTAGGCATTCAGGGCTCAGGGTTACGAGGTGTTACGAGGTTTAGGGGTCTGGTGGGGTTGGCTTTAAGGATTTGGAGGGACGGGTTCAGGGTTAGGCAGAAACTTAACCTGCTTAAGCCCTACGACTGAGAGCGTCGTAGACCCGTGAGTATCTTCAGCGCCCCAGTACGGTGGCACCGTTTTATGCACCCGTTCGTTTCGGGGTCTGCGCAGGAAGCCTACCCTTATCCACTGCGGGGCTCTGACTTAGTCCAAACCCCAGACGCTTCAAGAAGAATCCAATGAAGAGGCTTTCATCCCAGCCATCCCATTTAATCCTTGCAGCCCAAAGCCCCGCTATAGGAGCTGCTGAAACCCTTACCGAAAGCTTGTAGTCTCATCCCTCAACCCAGCGCCGCAGGACATGATCGCAAAGCTCGGTCCCAGATTCACACCGCAATATGTAAATCGCCTGAGCAGAGCCGCCTCGCACATCGCCGCCCTCCTGCCGCACATGGCGCATGTTCCCGTGATTTTTTTCATTTAGGGGTCGGAATACCAATTAGTGATAATGTTCCTGCGGGTTCTTTCTTAGATTTATTCTATAATGTGCCCCGAGCTCCTTTCTAATTATTAAGGCCTCTATGCTTTGCATCTCTACTACTACATATCGCTGACAGTTTTTGTAAATTGGAGTGGTTTCCTAATGTCGAGATCGGAATAACTAGCAATACGACTCCCTTATAGTTTCTAGATGTTGAAGGAAAAGGTACCCCAATACCCTTTTCTAGATATTAGAGCCCCCACCTACCCTAAACCCGAAACCGTAAACCCTCATAGTTTCTAGATGTTTAAAGACAATATACTCCAATACCCCCTACATGCAGCCAACCCTAAACCCTAAACCCTAATCCTAAACCCTAAAGCCCTAAACCCTAAGCCCTAAACCCTAAACCCTAGACCTATACCCTAAACCCCTACACCCCTAAACCCCTAAAGCCCTAAACCCCAAAACCCTAAACCTAAACCCCTTACGAAATCCTCATTCCCAACTCCTAAGACGCTAATTAAACCCCCTATGCCCAGGATCCTGCATAATGCAGGGGCCTTAAATAATTAGAATAGGGCTCCTTTAATCGGGTTCCTTTTAAAAGGGTTCCTACAAGGTTTTCTATAAGGGTTTTAGAGAGGGGCCTTGATAATTAGAATAGGGGTTTGGGGTATACTATACTATATTTATGATAGGGAACCTTCAAAAAATGTATAGATAACTATTTAAGGCCCCTGTATTACCTGGTGCCCTGAGCACCAAGAATACCCGCCCAGGCATGGGCATTGGGTGTAGTCCGGTGCTACCAGCTCTACATTTCCAGTCAGGCCGGCGATGAAACGATGTCTCTGGAGCCCTCATTCGCAATTGACGGGGTTAGGGGCCAGGGGTTTGGGCCAGGGGTTTGTCTTAGTGCTGTTTAGGGTTTGCCCTTGATGGTTTTCGGGTTCAGGATTTGAGAGTTTGGGGCTTAGGGTTTAGGGTTCGGAGTTCAGAGTTTAGTACTGGCATAGGTAAGCCTTAAATGGAACTTTTCTCGGGCACGACAATCCTGACAAATCACCAAGGGTTAAGCTTGAGTTTCCCTTAGGATACTGGACAAGTAAGGGTTTTAGTCGAAGGAGGCCGGGGAGTAGGGTCTCACATGACAGCATGCCCCGTTACCTTTGTAATAGATTACGGGGTTGTGGGGTACTATCAGGTTTTGCAACTGCGGCTTTTGTTGCAGGAGTACAGATAGCTGAGCACCGAGGGATGCTGAGTTCTCGAGTTCTCTAGTGACGGCAAAAGTCTGGTGCTGCTACTACTCCTACTACTACTACTACTACTACTACAGTACTACAGTACTACAGTACTACTACTACTACTACTACTACTACAACTACTACTACTACTACTACTACTACTACTACTACTACACTACTACACTATACTACTACTACTACTACTACTACTACTACTACTTCTTCTACTACTACTACTACTACTACTACTACTACTACTCGGGTTGGGCGCTTGGTAGGTTTAAGTGGTTAGAGAGCAAAATACACCGAGTTTCTGGTAAAAATGGAGTTAAGCCAATTTCTTACAAACTATTTGGGATTGCTACTAAGTACACTGAGGATGATGATAGCGATGATGAAGAAGTTGAAGAAGAAGAAGATGATGATGAGGATGACGATGAGGTGCATGTTATTCAGTGTGAAAAAGACGATGATGATGCTGAGGTTGACGAGAATGCTGAGGATACAGAAATTGTCATCGCAGCTGTCCGCATGTCGAAATGTTACAGACAGTCCAGCTGAGCGCAGACGGAGCCAGACCACAAAGACCACTAGCTTTGTGTCTTTCCGTATGCATTTCTGTCGAGCGTACGACCACGCCAGCAGAGGTATTCTGTGTAACATACACAGGGCTGACAGCCCGCAAGCTTCCAACGCAAAATCCTAGTCCAACACAGGCGCCCGTGCCCAGCATTGCCCTTCAAAGATCATGAAGTTACAAGTGTATTGTTTAAGGTTCGGGAGTGTGTGCACGGCTTTGCAATTTTGAGCACCTCAACCCTATGCAACTGCAGCTACCGCTGCTACTGCTGCTGCTCCTGCAACCGCTGCTCCTGCCACCGCTGCTACTGCTGCTGCTACTGCTGCTGCTGCTCCTACTGTTCCTACTGCTGCTACTAATTTGTTTATTGCTGTTAGTGCCACTGCTACTGTTGCTGCTAAACCAAAAAACTGTGCTGTCAACCATGTCGTTATAAAGCCCACCCCCCACCCCACCCCCCACCTCCCCCTCCACCCCTTGCAACACGCCCAAAAACAAAGGTTACACCAAGCGCCTGGAGGCGCGCATAGCTACTACTACCAGTACTATTACGAGTACTACTACTAGTACTAGTACTAGTTACTAGTACTAGTACTAGTAACTAGTAACTAGTAACTAGTACTAGTACTAGTACTAGTACTAGTACTAGTACTAGTACTAGTACTAGTACTAGTACTACTACCGCTACTCCTCCTCCTCCTGCTGCTGCTGCTGCTACTGCG